GGGAGGGTGTGCTGGCCAGCCCCCTGCAGCAGAGAGGGCTCCAGGCCAGGGGACAGCCACCCTCCTTCCTGGCGCAGGGCCTGTCGTTTTGGAGGTCAGAGATGCCAGTCCCGACACCCACAGCTGTGTGAGCTTCCGCAGCTGTCCATCCCAGAGTCCTCCGTGTCCCTCCTGCCTTCCTCACAGGCTCTCGGGAGGACCGAGTGGGCACAGCGAGGTAAAAGCATCTATTTCATATGTATCTGTATGATCTTAAAGACACGGACAGGGTCACAAGTGGCAGAAGTCTACGCTGGGGACCAGCGGGGTCAGGCCCAGCGGGGGCCAGTGTGTGCACAGCCGCGGTTGTGGGCGAGTCTGATGAAGGGGCGCCTACAAAGCGGAGACAGGGTTCAGGGAAACCAGCACAGCAGAGGAAGCAGGTTCCAGAACTGGGGGAGCCCTGCGGCGCTAACTGTAGAGGAAGGCTGCCCCACCGAGGCTGTGATCTTTCTTAGGAGAACTCGGGCACTCCAAAGGGCGGCCCACATGAGAAGAAGTGGGGGAGGGGTAGCAAACACCAGCCTCAGGTCCCTGGGAGAGAACTGCACCGGCCCAGCCCAGAGGGGAACCGGAACTACCGGGCAGAGCAGGAGAAGGGGGGTCCAGAGTGGTTCTGGAAACGTCCAGTATGGTGCCCTGCTTTGTGTCCCCAGACACCCCGTGACTTACCCACGTGTATATCACTCGCCCACATCAGATTCCTTGGAAGCGGGGGCTCCACTGGCCTGAGTGAATTCGACAAGAAAGCAGCAGCTGGAAGGGGGCTGCCAGAGCTGGTTCGACAGCAACGATGTCAGAGCCGGAATCTCTGTGATTCTCTCGGCCCTTCTTTCGTTTGCCACCTCTCGGTGACGTGATCCCAGTGTCTCCCCGTTCTAACCTCAGTGCCCTGTGTGGCCCCTAGAACACGGAGGATGCGCAGTAAACTAGGGCTGAAGGAAGGAGTGAGGGCCGGCCGCCCGCAGGAGACAGTCAAGAGAGAGATGCTTCTCAACACAGATGTTTATTTTAAATGCAAACGAGCAGTGCCCAACACATACACACGGAGCCGCGCGGTGCCTGCCGCGTCGGGCGCTGAGATGCGTGCGAAGACCCTGGTGGCAGGAAGCCCTCGGGTGCCCGCAGACCTCAGTCAGGGAGATCAGGACCTCTGCCTCCACTCGAAACCCCCTCCCCGACGCCTTCTTACTCCGAGCAGCACAAGGCGGCTCCCCTCCTTCAGCCCCCACGGCAGTCAGCCTCGGCAGAAAGGCAAGCACGCGCAGTGTGGCGGCTTTTCCGTCGCATGCACTTGGGTGTCTGCCTGCCGAAGTGGGCCAGACACCGTGGAAAAGGGAAGCACACCAGAAGCGATTCTCTAACAGACTCCCAGGTGCCCTCCCCGTCCTGCTGGTGGGCGCAGTGGGAGCGGAGGGCGGGGTTTGTCCCAAACACCCCCTCTCTGCCGGCGGAACCCAGAGAGCAGGAGCGAACACGTGTCTTGAACAAACAGCAAGGAAGGGAAACTGAGCCTGCTTTTGCCTGGGACCCCCTGCCCTGCTGGCCAAGGACTTCCCGGAAAATCCAACCTGCTGGAGAGGGAGGGAGCCCAGGGCAGTGGGCGGAGGGTCCTGGCCCTCGGTCCTCAGGTCCTCTGGCGGTGATGATCAAGGTCAGCATGAGCAGTGGGTGTCGAGCGCGTCCTGTTATGTTTAAGACAGTACGAGCACAGGAAGGGTCGGTGACAACTGGCCCTGAGGTTTATCGGCGATGGGCCACCCTGGCAGGCAGGACAAAGTGTCCAGGGAGTCAGATGACCGGCACCACTGACCTGAGAACAGGGAACAGTGCGAGACCACTGCGTCTGCCCGACAGCCCCGGGGTTACTTCTAACGCGCCTCTTGCGGTTTTGCTTGGTTTGAACTCAAATGTTTTCTTTAGCGCATTAGTTTGCGAGGGTCTCATTGATTATCATAAGATAAATAACGTCATTTTGAAAAACGTTTTTCTCTCCTTCATCATGTTAAAGAAAGGGGACGACGCATCAGAAGGCGAGAGCCCTCCTCGGCTTTGGGCTCTTTCTGGGCCCATATATTTTGCAAAATAGATTTTTCAGCTCGCTGGAAAGAGACCCAGAATCAGAAAGAAAAATGTCAGGGTTCCCTCTGCTCCTGGTGCCAATTTCCTTGAAGCTGAAAATCCATCTTGCCTGGGCTGATGCGGGCTCATTGCCAAATTGGGTTGCTGTCTCCTCACTTTCCTACTTATTTATCTTCTTGGATGGTCTCCAGACCCGGCTCATAAAGGGCCACAAAGGGGTTGAAATGGGTTTTTTCCCTGGGCCGGTTCAGGGGGGTGTGGGGGAAGCAGAGCTATGTTAGCCGTATCCATGACAACCATTAGTTTCTGTAAACCCCCCCTCTCGGCCATCAAGCCCACTGGGCAGGGTGTTCGGTCAGTGGTCTACACAGCCAACTGTCTACCTGCCTTTTCTGCACACCCTGCACTGGTCCCACGCTGAGGTTCATGGCCAAATCGCAGCCTACTGGGGTGGGGGCGGGATGAAGGTAACCTTTTCCCAGGTGCCTTGAAGTATCATTTCTTATTTCAGTCATTTCTTAAATGCCTGTCAGCTATTTCAAAGATAAATTTGGGGGAAATGGCTTTTATTCCGATTATATAAAGTGCCTTAAAGGCGGAGACTTCAGCTCAAACCGGGTGTTTGTGCCCCACACTTGGGCGCAGGCCCGGCTCCCTGAGGCCGCCACGCTGCGGTGGTCAGTGGCCGGAACCTGGGCTCGGGGGACTGGGGTGAGCCCAGCTCCGCCCAGGCCTGCCACTAACTGAAGCACAGAGGGGGCCAGTTACTCCTGCCTCACTCTGCAGGGAGCTGTTGTGAAGACTAAATGAAACCGTGACTTTGTTGGCCATGAAAGATTCTAGAAAACAGCTCCTGAGAAAACAGGACTTGGGGTTGAGCGAGCAGCAACCAGCCTCTCCTGATCTTGGGGTACAGGAAGAGCTCCCAGGTAGGGGCACCCAGCTTCTTCCAAGCTCGGGTCTCGCATCCACAGAGAAGGTGTGAACGCTCAGGAAAGTCTCAAATGGGAGTTCTGGAAACACCATGTTCGTGGTGTCACTTCTCTGCTCAAAAGGAACCCATGGTTCTAAACATGTTCCCAACTCTCAGGTTCCACATGCAAAGTCCGCCCCCCGCCCCCACCCCCGCCCCCAGCATCTCTCCCACGGCACGAGCCACGGGACGAGTCCTCGTTTCCACGGCCAGTCCCATGTCCCTGCCCCTCTCCCCGGACGCCTTCCTCTCAGGGTCCAGATTTGCCCTCACGCCTCTTTGTCCAGGGCATCTGCTCCCACCAGCCGCTCCACCTGGGCCCCTCCTTCCCCGGGAGCAGAGTACCTGCAACCCAGGCATGTGCCCTGACTGGGAATCGAACCTGCGACACTTTGGTTCACAGCCTGCACTCAATCCACTGAGCTACGCCAGCCAGGGCTCTACCTTGTTTTCTAAAGTAGCCTGGGAACTCCTCCGGGGGCAGGAAGTGTGCCTAACTCGTCCTCGTATCCCCCGGCAGACAGTAGGCGCTCCATCAGTGTGCACTGAGTGATGCATATGAAAATCATCCCATCTCTGGAAATGCGCTCAGATCCAAAAACATACAGCAGAAAACAGTGTGATTCAGTGACCTATCTGACAGCCCTCCTGGCCTGGGGAAGAACCCTGCGCCTCGACTTACCCGCCTCCCCAGTGCCTGAAAGGACTCTGAGGAACGCTTTACTAGTAACACCGTGTGCTCACGGAACCAGAAAAGTAAAACTAGCGACTTCGTCTTTGTTCTCCCTCCCTCCTTCTCCCCGCTCCCTCTTTCTCGATCCCCACTTCCATCTACTCTAGCACAGCTGTTCACTCGCAACTTCATGTGGCTTAGTAGCAATTGCTGAAATTCATCTAGGGCCTACGAACGCTCACAACTGGGCTCACCACTTCCCATGCTCGATTTCCCCTACTCCTGGCGGGGCCTGCTTCCCACCTTAAAGGGACTGAAAACCAGCAGCGAAGCCCTCGCCCAGGGTCAAGCAGTGGATACAGGACTTGACACTCCCCCCACTTCGATCTCATTCTCAAAGCCCCTGTTTTAAAACTACTGGAAATGACCAGGCGGACTCCCCATCTCGGTGGGGCCTGGGGCAGCACAGACTACGTGGACCTGCCCCGTCCTCCTCTCCGCAGAGACCGGGAGCCAGGAGGCGACGCTGCACTGCGGTTCTCCCAGAGGAGGCAGGGCAATCAAAGCCGCCCGACGACACGCGGGAACAGGCCGATCGATCCACTTCGGGGGCATCCTCATTAGTGCCACACCATACGGGGTGAGTGGCTTGCTCGTGTGACACTGCAGAAAACTCACTGCTGACCGACGGAGCACACGCGACCCTCACTCATGCACCCCTCCACACAGCGAGTGCGCCCTGAGCGCCCGCCGCACTCCAGGCTCCGCACAGGGTCATCGGGCAGAAAGTGAGTCGTCGGCCTTGAGGAGCTCGCGACCTAGTGAGTCAGCAGACACGCAGACCCACCACCACAGGGCCGGACCGAGGGGTGTGCCGTGTTGGCGGAGGCCTGCAGGGGGGAGAAACCAATGGTGCCGGGAGGCCAGGGGCGGCTCTCCTGCGGCCTCTGGGGTCCTGTTTCCCAGCCTCACGGGTTTTCATGCATGTTCACATGTGACACCCCAGCGCCTTCCCACTCCCCCACCTTCCTTCTTCCACGACACTGACAGGTCTCACCCTGCTCTCCGGAGGAGCAGGGAGGAGTGACTGACAGCTGCTCAGCTGGGAAGCTCTGGGAGCTGCCGCAGAGAGCTGACGGCAGTGTTCTGGAGAGAGCACGTGGGTGGGAGGGAGGCAGCGAAAGGCAGGAGGAGAGACTGGGGGGTGGAGAGTGCACGGAAGAGAGCACTTACCTGGGAGCACCTGAAACCTCCCTCTGTCTTTCTCTCTCTCTGTCCGGATCTCTGGGACATGTACTTCCTGGTCACTGCTGGAAACAAACAAACAAAAAACCAATATGTTAATATACACACACAAATATATGTATATGTATGTGTATATACACACACATACACACACATATATACACAAAGTACAGGGGTAGGCAAAAGTAGGTTTACAGTTATAACACAAATAAAGAATCCCATATTTAATAAACAATAATAGAAGAACTCCGTGTTTTATGTACTCATGACTGTAAACCTACCTTTGCCACAGCCCTGTACGTACACACATATACGTAGATGCACACAGACATATATATCCGTACGCACATACACACGGCAGTGCCTCCCACTTCTACACCAAGCTCAGTGCCCTTCACGCTGCCCTTCTCTCTATGTACACCCCAAACTGGTCGGAACCCCGACCGGAGATGGGGTGGGGTCTCCTCTGGCTTTAAACCGTCTGGAACCCCTCAGCAGGCCCACCTAGTCCCTGGTCTAAGAAGCCGTTATGGGAGAAGTTAATTCGGCACAGCTAAGCTCGTGATGATGGAGGGCCGAACGAATCAATCCAAACATTCATACATATTTCAGGAAGGAGAACCTTGCATGAATGCATAAACGAACCTTTACTGAGGTCCTCCTACGTACCAAGGCCTGTGCCAGGAATGTCTGAGAGTATTACCTATGTAATTCTCACACCAACTTTATAAAATAAGGTTTTATCTTCATTTCAAAAGCAAATACGTTGAGGGTCACGGTGGAAAAGTTTCTCTTCCGAGGTAACATAAGGCGGCTGGGAAGTGGCCAAACTGACACTTGGTGGATTCTCGATTGTTCCGTGGACGGAACAAAACCACGCGCTCTGCCGGATGGTAGTGGGCACACAGAGGAGTGCGAAAACCAGGAGACACAGCCGTGCGCTTGAAGAGCTCGCTGAGGGTGGGGAGGGAGGGTGTGCCCATCAGGCCAGTGCGGGTGGAGGGCAAGTCCACCGCCCCCAACAGAGCAGGCGATGGGACTGCCGCAGGGACTCAGGGAGGAGGGCTGAGGCCCTGTCTGACACAGGCTGTGCGGGAAGCGCAGAGAGCGAAGCTCAGAAGAACACGGGGGTTTCCTAATGAGGACCAGGCTGGTCTGGGGCAGGTCTAGGCCAGCAGATCAGTGCAGGAGTAAGAAAGCATGCCCAGAAATGGGCCCGTGGGCAACAGGGATTCAGTCTCTGGCCAAGGCAGCATTTCAAGTCAGTGGGCACAGGATGACTCAGCCAATAACCAGTCTGGGGACAAGGGACTAGCCATTCACTGAAAAGAAAAGTGGTGTGTTGGCTTTATACAGTACCCAAAAATAAATTCCAAAACAATTAAAGATGTACATGAAAATAATTCTTAAAAAAGTAGGAGAAAATATAGGTGAATAGCTTATCTTAGAGGGGAGAGCTTTTCTAATTATATTTGCAAAGGAAGGCTTGCAAATAAAACAGGTAGACTCAACTCTGTAACAAGTTTGAACTCCAACATGTCAAATTCAGGACCATTAAAGTCTAAACGACAAAAAGTAAACTTGGGAAAACATTTGAAATATATGTGAGACAGATATTAGTATTCTTAGTATAGAGGATGCACTTATAATTAATAAAAAAGAAGCTTGCACTTAAAAAAAAATAGCAAAGTATATGAATGGCGTAATTCCCAAATAAGAAATGCAAATGGTTAACAAGCCTAAGGAAAAAAAATGTTAAAATTCATTAAATATTTTAAAGGCAAATTAAAACTTTAAATAGGAAAAGCGAATGTCTTTTGTATTTTTTCATTTTATCTTTTTTCTTAACCCTCACCCTAGGATATTTTATTATTGATTTTAGAGAAAGGGGAAGGGGGGAGAGAAAGAAGGAAACATTAATGAGAGAAAAATCAATTGGCTGCCTCTCGTATGTGCCCAACCGGGGATCCAACCTGCAGCCTAGCTAGGTGCCCTGTCCAGGACTCAAACCCCCAACCTTCCGCTCTAGGGGACAGTGCTCCACCCAACCGAGCCACCAGCCAGGGATCACTTTAGTTTTGGGGGGAAAAAAAGTAAGTATATTCCCATGGTCCCCGAATCAAAACCCAAAGAATACAGTGCAGAGTCTTCCTCCCACCCCTCTCCCCCATCTGGCTGGGGCTCACCACACCCCAAACAGGAGACCACTATAATGAATTTCTTCCGTGTCCTTCGTGCGTATGTGTGTGTGTGTGTGTGAAGCAAATGCCAGCATGCATTACAGCATCATAGGTTCTCTTCTTTCCCTTTAAATAAAATGTAATGGGGTGACACCGGTTCATGGGGTCACGTAGGCTGCGGGTGTGCACTTCTGTGACACATGATCTGTGTACTGCACTGTGTGCCCACCACCCAGAGTCAAATCACCCTCCGTCTCCAGATATTTGGCCCCCTTTCCCCTTTACGACCCCTGCACCCCCTTCCGTCCGGTGAGCATTTTATATACATAGTTTCATAATAGCTCTTCCTTCTTAGCAATATATATTAGACAATTTTTCATATGGATACATTAAGCTCTTCTCTGTCATTAGTTTTTTTTTATTGTACAGATGTACAATAATTTATCTAGATGGTCTCCAGTCTTCCACTCTTACAAACAATGCTACAATGAATAACAACGATCGTATGTCAATTCTCAAATGTTCCAGGATCTCTTGTAGAATGAATTCCAAGAAGGGAAATCGCTGGGACCAAGAATATATGCATTTTTAATTCTGAAAGATGTTGCCAAATTGCCTTCTACAGGGGTTTTATCAATTCACCCCCCTCCCCCGAAACACAAGAGTGTGCCTGTCTCCCCACAGCGCTGCCATCAGGGCACGTCGTCAAGCTTCTGGAACTCACCAAATGGATGAGTAAAAAGTGAAATCTCAGGATGATTTCATGTGCATTTATCCTGTTATAAGTGAGGCTGGGCATCTCTCCATAGATTAAACAACCATTTTTATTTCCTCTCCTATGAAATGTATGTTTATGTTACTAAATTATTTCCAATTTTTTCTTTATAGGATAATATGTAGGGAGTATGAGAACATAAAGACCCAAAGACTATAAATAGGGGTAAAAATTGATTTAAAAAACTTTTGTCAGGGGTCACTGAGCAACCCATAGCAAAATCCTTCAAACGTGCCCATTCTCTGACTAGAAGCTACGTTTGCAGAACGCCACCATGAAGAGACGGCCACAGCTGGGAAGAGATGGGCTGTGGAGGGTGTCCATCAGGCGCTGTTCATGTCCAAAGCCAGAGTCTGCCTCTCTGCGAACCCTCCTGGGTGCGCGCTGTGTTCCTCTCTGCACCTTCTTCTTCTTTTTCCTTCCACCTGGCTCTTCTGATGCCCTCCAATGTCAGTCACTGATCGTTGCCGCAGTGTGGCGGCTCCTCCATTGCCGGGACAGCCTGCGTTGGCCGGCAGTGCTGTATCAGGGTCAGTGTGAGCGGCCGAGTGAGCCAGCCCCGCTGAATCCCAATTCCAAGGTCCTGCGAGAGCGGGTAGCCTTGTCTCAAGAGGATACTCGGATCAAATTTTGGTCTAGAATATTGCAGTCTTTTGGGGAGCGGGTGCCACACTTCAGTGGCGCTGTCTGAAAAAGAGACCCTTGCCTAGCAGCTCTGAAAACAGAGCAGCGTCTTGGCAGCTGGCGCGTTGGAGCCTCGGAAGTGCCCCATGCATGCATTGCTTCCGCCTAAGCACCTGCCGAGACCCCAGAGCTGGAAGGAGGATTCAGGCCCCAGGAATTTCAGGAAGCAAGGTTGGTGCCATGGACCATACTAATTTTTATCATATTACAATAATTATTTTTTCAATTGGTTGACGTTTCAAAAACAAAGCTTACCAAACCAAGCCACAAATTCCCATGATTTAGTGGTGGTACCAGCAGCCACTTCTTGTGAAGAGGGAATAAAACATCCCAGCTACAGGATACACACTTGTGGAGAAAACATACTCTTCCTGATGTCCTGAGGGCTCTCGGCACCTACAAAACCGCCATGCACTTTTGCTTTGTGAAAGCTTGGTGGTGGGGGCAGATGCTTGCACAATTTCTGTGCTAGGAGACAAGGAGCCCTGGGCGAGTTAAAGATTTGCCATCGATTTCCCCTAAGCCCAGGGGACAAAGGTAGAGTCATCTCAAAGTTAGGAAAGTTAGCAAGTGACTAGACGTGGTAGGTGAAGTGAAAGAGGGGAAGCTGTTCTGTATTTTCTAGTGTGGGAACCTGGGTGGCCCAGGGTGTGGAACAGGACAGAGGCCCAGACCAGTACGGTGGGCTCAGGGTGGGGCAAGCAGACCTTGAGATAACACACATCTAGCGAGGCTACAGGTCTCAAGATCTGAGGTGAGTCTTGCACTGAAGTTTCAGCTGGAGAATATTCTAGTTTGGGTTCCCCCACCAGAAACAAACCCTGAGACACAGACCTGGGTGCAGGCAGTGTACCTGAGAGGTGACGCCAGGGAGCAGACAGAGTGCAGGGGAGGGGGAGCGTGGGGCAGGGATAAAGAAAAGCCAATAATAAAAGGCATAGTATTGAGTCGCTTATCTCAGTGGGCCACTGGAGTTCAGTCTCGCTGGAGAGCCCCTGAGGGACCATGTAGAACTACACGGTAGCAATCACTTCAAAACTATTCCTCGAAAGATGGGGAGCTGGGAGGGCTGCACTCAGGCAGTGTTAACTCCTCTGTGCTTCCTGTACTGAGCGGGGCCTTCCACAGCTTCAGACAAAACCCTGAGGCAGGAAGGTAGAGAGACACCCAGGGCATTCCAATGCATGCACTAAAATCCAGTGGGCGGAGGGGCTTTGGTGCATTGCACATAAAGCATTTGCTACAAAAATCAAGAGGATCTGGGTCACATTTGACATCATGGAGTGGGTAAGACTGGTGAGTCTAGGGAGAAAAGAAGAGACAGAACCTCAGGACGCAGAGGAAAGAACAGCGATCAGAGAGGCAAGCAAATCAGGATAGTGTCACATCTGCCGAAGGAGATGTGATTATCAAGGAGAGAAGGTCA